ACTATATAACGTGCAAAAATGAAAAATGATTGAAAATTGCTGATAAGGTCAAAATTCAATTGAAACTTATGTTAGTCGAGAACATTTCCAAAATTATGATAGGATGGGAAAGTGACAGAACTTTTTTGAAGATTCGTTTTTTGCCCATGCTATTCGAGAAAAATATTGAGATGCTCCTCGATTGCAGCGATCTCGCAACCCGAAGATTACAAGAGAAGAAATTTTAGTTCAATTTCTAGAGAACTTTTGAATTTTCAAAATTAGTTACAAATAAAAACAAACCACTTGCACAAGTTTATGAGTTAATCGTGTAATCTTGAAAAGTCCCATTGGAACAGTGTATTTTGCGTATGAGAGCTTCTGTTGAGGTTGTTCCATAGATTTTTACCGTTTTTACACTAAACATTAGCATTTCTTGAGGACTGGCGCACCTACAAAGGTACAAATATACATTCGTACTTCCCTGTGTATGAGCTACATATCACATGCTTGGGAGGAGCTCAGGGCCGGTATGTATCAATCTCCCACTCGAGAAGGGGTTCCCGTCTGGGTCGTTGCCCGACCGGGCACGGGCGCCCGCACCTGCGATGCACCATTCTGGGCTGGTACTCGGGCAAGAGCCCGGACTGCCTATTTGGGGATCAGTAGCAGCGTGCTGACGCATATGTGATATGCCTCCTGGCGCCTTCTGGGAGTGACTCCATTCACTCATTTTCGTGCATTTCTTCTCCGAATTTGAGTCCGTGCGTTTCTTTATCAGTTTCTGTCCCCTAACGTACTTTTTTGTGCTTTTGCAGGCCCTTGTCAGCGAATTTGATTTTGAAGGCGGGTGTTTATTTTTGTCCGCAGCCGATCGAAGAAGATGGAAATTGTGTTCGGAAACTATGTTTGAAATAATTGCAAACAGATACATCATCAACTTGTTGAAGAAGAATGATCCTCCTCTACGATGTGTGTGAGACACATTTCTATGAGAATGTGACATCACACAAAAGCAAGGAGGTATCAATCAAAAAATCAATAATCAACAAAATCATAAAATCTCATTTTGGTGAAAAAGCAGGCACAGCCTGCGACCAAATGATAAAAAAGAGCAAAAACCAGACAGGATTCTGTCTGGTTTGCTTACCATGCATAAAGAAACGAAAACAAAACCAAAAAAGTTGAAGAACTCACCAATAACGCATAAAAGGGGAAGCAGTGGCGAATGTGTGTGCAATGTGCAAAATCCGAGATAGCGAGATTAGGCGTAAAATATATTATTTTTGGTGCGCCGTGAGTAATCACGGCCGACGCGCATTCCGCAACGTCTAGAACAATTTCTCCTTTGAGTTTTCCACTAACACCAGTCTATTAGAATAAACGGGTAGATATTGAGAATGAAGTAAAGACATATTCAAGAGAAATAGAACTCCCATATACACAAAGTGCTTGGAGCCAAAACCGAAACTTGCCTATGCAATCTGCTTAAGCGTTGTTCCTTCTCCAAACAGCAGCATTTTGGCACCTAGAACCAAAAACATTCTCAGAACTTTGTAAAGAAAGAACCCCATTCAAATGAGGAAAGAAACTCAAAAAATTTCAATCACAATGTTCCCCCTATTGCTTGCGACAAACGTTCAAATTCTTTTTTGGGAACATATGTGGGGAAAAACAGACAACACATTGAATAATGTAGTTAAACTGCATGCAAACCATAATCATGCACATTATAGTTACTTGTAAAACCTAACTACTAAGATAGAAATTCAAATTGAACAAAAAAAGATAAAGAAAACGAGCTTCCGTTTCGTTCCTTCCCTTAGACGGAGCACAAATACAAAAAAATCATTAAGTAAGCCCTCCACGGAACTCTTCAGTAAGGAGGGAGGGCCTAACAAAGTAAAAAAAATGAAAAACTCACCAATTTCAGCAAAAAAAGGCGATGAGTTGCATCTCCTGTCGCGAGTGCCCGAACCCGCGAGATCGGGCTTTCCTGCCCGTCCGGGCTGGGCGCCCGCGAGTTTCATACATCATGGGTCGGGCGCCCGCTCCCGCCAGGGCGTTCATTTCCAATGGTTAAGGAGCGCCCGGGCGCGGTTCGGGAGATTGATACATACCGGCCCAGGAGTCCTAGGGGCGGAGTTTGCCATTTTACTCCATTCATTTTTCCTTTTTTTCTAGCCATAGAAACACGGAAAGTGTACAATCGAATGTTCGATGTGTCAAATATATGTTAGATTTTTTGGGGGCGGAGATACGATTTTTGATGTTAGTTTGTTTTCACTGCTATTATCAGAATTCAGCTCAAAACTTTACGTGGAATAGGATTTGGGCAGATTCTTGGTAGCCATCTTGCAGAGCTTGCTTTACGCCCCGGACAGACTTCACGCGATTTGATCGTCGCGACTGAATCGCGACGAGACAACTGTTACAACATCATTCCATGCCGATCAACTTGCATTTCGGTTGTGATACTTTTCCAACCCGAAATTTTTGAATGTGAAATGAAAACGAATGGAAATGTCGGCGATTGAGTCGCGACGATCAAATCGCGTGAAGTCTGTCCGGGGCCTTACCCTGTCGAATAATTACTCAGGCCACGTCAATTGGAGAATGATACAAAAAGATGGCGGTTGTAGTAAAAAAGATAAAAAATTTGGGACACCCTAATAATACGAATAAGAGCAGGCGATACACGATGTCTATAGTTTGTTCAATATGCTGGACGCCCCAGCAAGCACATTCGGTTACCTCACGTACCTCACTCACTGCACCGATTGCGCTATAAAATACGAAGTTTGAATTAACGTTCAATCCGCGGATCTCCTAAAATCTCGGCATTCACAGTTTCGAGTTCTCTCATAATCGGCATAGAATTATATATTCACGAGCTGGCATCCCGGGTTCCACCCCAGTTTGAAGCCAGTTCATCGTGCTTGACCTCTCTGTAGCGAAAGTTACCCTTCTTTTGATTCCGACCCTTCTTGGGTTCGCATCTTACTGTCCGTAACATATCTTGATGACCAGCAAATCAAAATGAGCTTCATCGCTTATCCTTCATGACTATGGGAAACGTGCACAGACATACAGATGTACAAGTTTAGGTGAGGAAGGATCGCTTTACGCGAACTTTTGAAGATCGACATTTCTTTCCTCAGAATTGGTTCGTATTGTCTTTTTTGTCAGAATGTTCCTCTCTAAAAGTGTATTTAGGCGCTGTGAGCTCTTCAAACATCCGCATCGCGTTTTTATTCGCTATTCCTCAAATGCCACGAACTCTATGCTTGATGATCTCTTCAAAGTTTTCCGAATACGAAAGGTAGATTCTGCATAAGTCAAAATAATAAGGAGAAGAGAAAAACCATGGAAATCTCTCTTGCCCTTCAACGACTACAAAGACTAATTGGCGCAAGCATATCTAATAATGAACCATTAACACTGACAAATTGCGCAAGCTAATTTTTACCTTCTCTGGTTTTCATCCATGTTAGCAAGTTATACATCACGTATATCAAACTAAGATATAGATAAAGTATCATCATTTTAGGTCGGAAACTCTACCTTGGAATTCTTACGTCATGAACTCAATTCAGGTCGAACACCACATAGCACAATACAATCTTATGCTAGGCATTTTCTTGAAGAAAGGTAAAGGTATATTCAGTGTTGGGTCGTTGCATGACGGATTTCTTCCAGACTGCGCTCCAGCGATTTTCTTATGGAATATGTCGTAAGAATGTTCTACCATGATTTTAGGATATTTCATTACAAATTGCCAGATGGGTTTGTATGATAAAAATCTTCCATGTATGTGTCAACATGCACGCATATCAGAAGAAGTGCGAGTTTATCTAACTTAAATGAATAGCTTTTCAAAAAACGCATTCTAAAAACTTGACATGGAAATAGCTGCAGCTTCACTATCGTATGTTGCATCTTGTTGGCACTATTTTATGAAAATACTAGCTGGCAAACCCGGCTCCGCCCGGGCCTGTCAATAATACATTTGTAATCAGCATGCTCGATTACCCCCCTGTGCCAACTCCCAGCCCCGTAGCTCAAATTTTGCAAAAAATCGATAAAATCGATATCGATCGATAACGAAAAGTAGCCTATGACACGCTCCCTGCCCCGAAGTATATGTGTGCCAAGTTTGGTCCAAATCGGTTCAGAAATAAAAATTTCTATTCCGCACATACGTACAGACAGACATACAGACAGACATACAGACATTCAGCTTTATATATAAGATGTACCTTATCAAGGCGGCGCTGAATCGTTGAATATTTCTGCTCCCCTGTTTTCGTTGAATATTTCTGCTCCCCTGTTTATGTTCCTTCAGGTGTTACAGTATCGTCGGTTCATTAGTTTACTTTTGGACTAGATTCATAGTTGTATTTCACAACTAAGTATGGCATTATGCAGGCACATGGCTAGGCACAGATTGACATAATTGCGGTAAAATAACCCTAGCAAAGCACGTATCAAACATTTTTGTCACCAATCCGATTGTTGTGACGTCAAATGAGAATACCGAAATGCACACTATCGCCGTGTCTGATGCAGGTGGCAAATTTTATTGATATTCGGTTTTTAATGTAGGACAATGCTTTGTTAAAAAATCAACAACGAAGCACCAGGGGTTAACTTTCCTTTAACACTTCGCGAACGGGCCAGCTCAGCTCGTGCTTTTGGACTAGAGTTTTTGTTTTTTGAACTCACGCCTGACAGTAAGTTCCAAACAACAATATTTTACTCAAGAGCTTTTCCAAATACACGTAGCGGCGTTTACTTCGCCTTGTGTCGAAAAATCAGCAGCATCTTGCCAGCGCAAGTGTTCGTCAAGATATCACGAAAATTGGATAGCCCTACTTAGGTACGCCAAAATATCACTGTTATGGGCCTAATTGACGCATAGACATGTCACTGTGGCTGTTTAAAATCTGCTCCACGCAACGGTTTCTTGTTGGAGAAGAGTTGGCCAGAGGACGAGCCTTTTAGAGACGTCAGAAATATGACAACATCTGGAGTCGATTCAGCTTCATTTGGATGAAAGTGTGGATTTTTACATCTTGTAAAGCTTCATCCGTTTGTGACAATTCCAGGAACGTGCGGCAGCTGGGCCTCACCTATTTTGTTAATCTTCTTGAAGAATTCTGCAAATTCAAATTTTTTGATTTTTTGAGTTCGCAGCGGCCGGTCTAACGCCCCTAGGATGGTCTGAGCGCTGCTCTTTCCTAAAGAGGGAGAAAGCGACCAGATCGTGTTCGTGGATTTCCAACAATCCGGGCTACCATTAGTCAGCATTTCCCTTCTCTTCCATTATAGATCAGCTCTCGCTCTGCTTGAGTGCACATATCGACAAGAGAATACATTATCTTTCGGAGTGAAGGCTTTTATACAGTGAGATAAGCAACAGAAGAACTACACTAGATGCAGTCTGAATAACCTAAAACTGTACAAGACCTTAATCTACCCTTGTATATAAAAATTCAATCTATATCAAATTGAGGATAGGTCTGTGTTTCTGTACGTCTGTCCGTATGTAATCCAGAACAGCATCGCAACAGTTTGAGTAAAAAATTCGCTTTTTTAGACGATCTGGATCAGATTTTGCACACGCACGTCGCAGAGTTAATTGCAAGAAAGAGTTCAATAAAAGTACAGTACCGCTCACATTTTTTGAAAAATAGACGCGAATGTATGGACATGTATGAACATGTCGCTACACGTCCATACATGTAGCGACATGTCCATACATGTAGCGACGTGTCCATACATGTCGCTACATGTCGCTACATGTATGGACATCACCGTCGCGTGGCCATATCTCGTTTAAGAGTGGACGAATTCTGAATCCGAAGCCACCATCCGATTCAGCTCGGCGCGGAGAATCTTCTCATATATTGGAAGTGGGGGTACGTGTCTTTGATACCGTTTCCAGTTTTTTCAATTTGTTCTGCGGAGGTCCTTTCGCGAATATGTGAAGCAACGCCTGCCCAACATAGAAGACTTTACTAAGTAATATTCGATAATGCTGTTCTTGTAGATTATTGTGCGCTAAAAAATAGGCTCAGAATTCTTTCCAAAGGAGATAGAAGCGTTGGTGAATCTTGAAAAAATCACGCTTTTAAATCCTCATAAATACTCGCCATAACTTCCTTCGGAATAAGTATATTTTGTATCTGGAAAATAGCGCCTTGCTCAGCTCATCAAGGCGAATCTTCTTATATACAGCATGTCCTTGATATTTCAATTTCAGTATTCTTGAATCTTTCTGAGGACGTCTTTTCGCGAAGGTGTAAAACAGCGAGCATTGTTCCGAGTACATTCCAGCAAGGATCTTTCGATAGCACTTTTTCTGTAGATTATGATGTGCTAAATAGTAGCCGTTTCTTTTCAAAGGAAGTAGAACGGCTGGTGAATTGTGGAAAAATCTTGTCGTCCCAAATTCTACTCGCCATAGCCGCAGGATACGAAGCTATCTTGCTAAGCAGATGTGAGTTTCGAAATCAGCAGGTCGCATAACCTCTACGAGCAAGACTTCCGATATGTTCGGGTTATTTCGTTTTTTCTCGTTTTGCGCTCCGGAAGCTCGCCGATGGATTTTGGTCGAAATGTTGATGCTCTTGAATTGTAAGGAAACTTCGCTTATAGAGGTTTTCGAACACGCTCCTTACGAAAATCGTGGTCTTTGAGGATTACACGGTTTTTTTTGGAGAGATACCTTGAGGTGACTGTAACTGAATCACGAAAGTGCGTAACTTTGCCCACACTTCTCGCGTATCTGTCAGAGACCTTGCCTTCTTGCTTTTCTCAGCCAAAGTTACTAGGAATTGTGCTATCGAATGGTGCATGGCTCAGCTCCAGTCTGTGAAATTCGCCGAGTTACGAGCCTACGAAAACACGTTCTCATGAATTTTGCCCAAAATGTAAAGATCGCATAACTCGTCGAAATTCCTCCGTGAGCTCTTGTATGACGCTCGTTGCAGATATTATGTTCGTTTCGTCGAACGACTCTCACCGTACTGAATATGGTGCTTGCGTCTGCTTCAGCTGCTCACTTGAATATCAAAGCTATTTCGTGGCTAGAGCTCAAAGCACCAAATCTAACACAATAAGATCCATTAAAAATGTGGAAGGATTTGATCAGCGCGTTGTACAAGCGCTCACGGAGAAATTTCGACGAAATATGCGATCTTTGCATTCTTCAGGCAAAAGGAGGACGTGTTTTCGTAGGCTCATAACTCGGCGAATTTCACAGACTGGAGCCTGAGTCATGCACCATTCGATAGCACAATTCCTAGTAACTTTGGCTGAGAAAAGCAAGAATGCAAGGTTTCTGACAGATACGCGAGAAGTGTGGGCAAAGTTACGCACTTTCGTGATTCAGTTACAGTCACCTCACCGTATCTCTCCAAAAAAAACCGTGTAATCCTCAAAGACCACGATTTTCGTAAAGAGCGTGTTCGAAAACCTCCATAAGCGAAGCTTCCTTACAATTCAAGAGCATCAACATTTTGACCAAAATCCATCGGCGAGCTTCCCGGACGTAAAACGAGAAAAAAAAAAGAAATAACCCGAACATATCGGAAATCTTGCTCGTAGAGGTTATGCGACCTGCTGATTTCGAAACGCACATCTGCTTAGCAAGATAGCTTCGTATCCTGCGGCTATGGCGAGTAGAATTTGGGACAGCACATCATAATCTACAGAAGAAGCGCTATCGAAAGATCCTTGCTGGAATGTACTCGGGACAATGCTCGCTGTTATACACCTTCGCGAAAAGACGTCCTCAGAAAGATTCAAGAATACTGAAATCGAAATATCAAGGACATGCTGTATATAAGAAGATTCGCCTTGATGAGCTGAGCAAGGCGCTATTTTCCAGATACAAAATATACTTATTCCGAAGGAAGTTATGGCGAGTAGAATTTAAAAACGCGTGATTTCCAAAATTCACCAACGCTTCTATCTTCTTTGGAAAGAAATCTGAGCCTATTTTTTAGCGCACAATAATCTAACAAAAACAGTATTATCGAATATTACTTAGTAAAGTCTTCTATGTTGGGTAGGCGTTGCTTCACGTATTCGCGAGAGGACCTCCGCAGAACAGATTGAAAAAAACTGGAAACGGTATCGAAGACACGTACCCCCACTTCCAATAAATCAGAAGATTCTCCGCGAGCTGAATCGAATGGTGGCTTTGGATTCAGAATCGTCCACTCTGAAGCGAGATATGGCCACGCGACGGTGATGTCCATACATGTCCATACATTCGCGTCAATTTTTCAAAAAATGTGAGCGGTATTGTATCACTTCGCTCTTTTTATTACCTCAATACCTTCCGGATGCTACTTTACTTTTTCTCAAGCAACACATAGTCCACTTATTGGTTATCTCTTCATCTAAAGCTGATTATTTCTACTGATTTACTTTTGAGGTCCCTTAGGAACTACTGATGAGGAGGAAGCTGCACTACGGTATAGTTCTAGTTCCGAAACAGGATAGTGTAAAAATAAGTTCTCTTATTCGTTAACATCTCATATTTGCTATTCTCAAATGTGTTTTTATGTCAATGACGACGTTTATCGACTATCTCTATAGGAGATACAGGGGTGAGGGGAGCGGGAGTGAGATGTACATCGTAGCAACCAATCGTGAAATCATCCATTCTTGATGTCGCTAGGATAGGATCAGAAAGAGGAAAATGTTGCTTAAAGGCAGCGTCCATGCAAATCTGGACATATCTCACGTGGACAGTAATTTTGGGACCCTATATCCAACCGGCAG